TTTTTGCTGATATGAGTCAAGGGTAACGTTATTAACGTCAACGTTAACCAGCTGCTAATAGCCATGTCGTTGATTTCAATATTTCAATATCACGGTGTTGCAATATTTTCACTTATGAAAGATTTATGCGTAAAATAACGTTAGCTCGGTCGCTATAACAACAAAATATTTAATACAGTTAACAGCTTTTCATAGTTAATGTATTTTTTAGCTTCCCAGGCAACGTTAATCTGTTTTATATATATAACGTTACCAATGATAGCAATTGCATGCTTCTAATAGTTAATGTTGGCCTTATAAACGATAATTAGATCACTGATTGCATGTACGTGTTTGTTTAACATGCTATTTAACGGGTTAACGTTACTGTTCGAACTAAAATATCTAACTTGGGCACAGCTATTTGGTAACGGCAACGTGCCTCTAAAATTTAACTAGCCTAATTAAATTAAAATTTAATTGCTGCAGAAAATAGCCAAACGTTATTCAACCAGAACAACTTTGTCTTCTTCAGCCGCCCTTTGTAACCGTGTAACATCTAGTGGATTGCCAGTACTGAGAGAAATGTATAGGTAACTTTCATTTGAACCAGCCCTAAATTATGATTTTGAATATATTTTCTATGTTAACAGGGGCAAAATGCTGTTGCGTGTTCAATTCGGGGAAGAGCAGAAATACGTCAAGCTGTCTGAGCTGACATTCGATGCTTTCTTGAAAGAAGGTGGGTATTAGATTAAATCAATATACATCACCCAATATCAAAATAATACAGCATTAACCTATTATGCTATATGATATCTAGTTAGGTCAATAATCATTTCTATTCAAACTCCGGTGCAGGTCTTTCATCTTTTTTTGAATACAAATTAAATATGACCATTGATTCTTGTGACAAGGGAATATTTTTTCTTTATTAAACTTTTTTAAACAGCATGTCTAAAATTCAACATACCAGAAAGCAGGCAGCCAGACATTAAGGTTTATGACCAGTCAGACACGGAAGTTGACACAGAGGTTTTTGAAGAAATAGTGAAGGAGTCACCTGGAACTTTCAGAATCATGCTGGGCAATGGAGGACTTGGTATTTATTCAGACAATTCACAAATGATTTTGTTTAGTTTAAAGGCCGGAATGAGAATATTTATTGTCTTAAAAAAAACTGATTCTTGTAATGTGTTTATATTTTGTACATATTTTATAATGAACAGGTGCCTCTCAATCATCATCATGCTCGGGTACATCTGATGACACCATCATCCTGAATTTAATGATGTGTGACCCTGTTGAAGAAGTAGCCGCTGACGAAGGAAGCCAGCCTAAAAGGCCATGCCATATAAACTACGAGGCAAAAGCTGTAAGTGGTGGAAATTGCTGTTAAGTCCAATCTGAATGTTGTTTCACCATGGGAAGTGTTCTAGATATGTATTTTTTTTCAACATCACATATGGTTTCACAATAACGGAAAGCACATTTTATTCCACCTATAGTTGATTGAAAAAATCCTAACATCAAAACCTGGTGGTGAACGCATTATGCAAGAGTATGGAAAAACCAAATCTCTGACAGATGCCACCAGAAGACAGATGATTAACATACTTGCTGCTGAGATGACAGAAACACATGGGTAAGCATTAAGGGGCTATAAAGAAACATTGTTATTATTTTACAGTTATTAATTATGTAAATTGTGTTGTGCAATGTCAATTGAGTATGATGTTAACTTTGAATTCATTTGCTAGGACATCCCCCCCAAAAGTGTTAGAGTGATGTATGCACAGGGGATAGTAGCCTTGTTTCCCTATCTAGAAGACCCATACTCACAACATGGATATGTAAGTAAATGGGTTAGTGCAACATTATGCACATATTCACTGTTTGAAATGTTAATAGTACTCCTTTATAAATTATTATAATTGCATAGGAACATTACTACGATCCGGAGAGTGGTTCGGGATACCTTGCATGGCGATTGAAGACCATACAGAGAAAATCAGCAGAGGAAAGAGGTGCCTCAGTCAGCAAATCTCCTAAAGGTATGTTTACTGATCAGTGACATGTGATTATAACCTGTGAATTGTACAGAAATTAGTTCTAAACATTGTATTGTATTAAGTTGGTGGGCCAGGCCGTGGTCGTCAGCCCTTCGCCAATGACAGAGAGCTGTCTGATGAGGATGTGGAAGCAGCTATTGCTGTTTTGAAACACTCTTCTGATGAAAAGACTGTCCGTGAGAAGATGAAAATGACCTTCGTATATCGGCAAGCAATGGTCAACGATGAAGCCAAATCATCAGATGTCTTCTTGGTCTTCCCACGATTTCTGGACACACCAGGACTGGTATGACATCTTAATAATTCACTGCATCACCAAAATATCCAATGTAGCATTATGTATCACTCATCACTTCTGTCTATGTGTGTTACATTGCAGATAGAACAAGATTTCAGACTTCTGTTTGGTGAGCCACGGCCAACAAATTTTTGGAGAAGTGGCCAACCACTTTCAAAGCAAAAGTAATAAAGGAAAGCCATGGACTTGTACCCACCACAGAACTCTTGGATTTGATGCGGAATGCTGAGTCAGCTGCTGAAGTTGAGAATGGTATGAATGGAACTGTTTTACTTTTTATTGTGGGTTAAGTAGGTGTGTAGAAAGTGTACATTTCCATATTGGTTCTAGTTGTCAATTTGAATGCTATACTATGGTATAATGTTAACCAGGTTTTTATTCACTTATTTGTAGGCTGGGACAGTGACATGTCTGCCATCTTGCTGCTGCTACATTTGCTACCACCATCTGCACAAGGTAGAAAGAAGCCGGGAAAGCTGTCTGCATATCAAGCTGTAGATCAGCTTATCAGATTTCAAAAGGTATGCTTAAATGATTAGTTCACTTCTAAAAACATTTTGGCTGATAATTTACTAACCCGCATGTCATCCAAGATGTTCATGTCTTTCTTTCTTCAGTCAAAAAGAAATTAAGGTTTGAGGAAAACATTACAGGATTTTTCTCCATATACTGGACTTCAATGGGGACCAATGGTTTGAGGGTACAAAGTCTGTCTCAATGTAGCTTCAAAGTCTCGACATGATCTCAGCAGAGAAATAAAGTTCTTATCTAGCAAAACAAACGGTCGTTTTCAAAACCCTCAAACCATTGGTCCCCATTGAAGTCCATTATATGGAGAAAAATCCTGTAATGCTTTCCTCAAACCTTAATTTCTTTTTAAATGAAGAAAGAAAGACATGGACATCTTGGTTGACATGGGGGTGAGTAAATTATCAGCAAAAAATGTTTTCAAAGTGAACTAATCCTTTAAGAGTTGTTTAAAATATTTCTTCCATCACTTCAATCTTGTGCACAGTTTGAGGTGATCTGATCTATTGTCAGAAATTAGTCACCAAAACAATTCTGTTAAATGTGTTTTGTTGTAGGTTGGAACCAGTGTGCAGCAGCATCTAGACAACATCACCCAAAGCAGTCAGCCCTACCTTCTCGCCCAGGGATCCACACAAAGCACCATTCACTCCTTCTTCATTGTGGTCGACAAGAAAGCACTTCCATGCAAGGCAAAAGGTTCAGTTGCCGCTTTTGATGAACTCTTTAAAGCCCATTACGTCTTTGGTACGTCATACAGTTCTTCCCTAAGCAGCTTTTTCACTTTTGTGCAAACAACCATCTATAACATCGACATGGGGGAAACAAAGGAGACCCCTAGAGTTGCGGAGTTGCGAGCAAGAATGGTGCGTTAGTTGAGATAAAACTATGAAGTGTTTTCTTTGCAAAAGTGACCATGGAAGTCCAAACAACCTTGTTAAGCACTTTAAGGTAATTCATGGACTATGTACAGGCAGGACTCTTTTTTTGAAGTGTGGTCAAGAAGGATGCTCACGTTCTTTTGGTAGTTTTTCAGGTTTAAGAAAGCATCTTAATAAGTGCCATGGAAGCAGTTTAGTTGATTCTGTGGAATCTGATCTTTCATATCCTCAAAGCACCATCAATACAAGTAATGTTTTTCATGTTGAAGAGTCGACTGAAGAGTTAGAGGCCGAGTCACAGTTATCTTCGCCATACATTGTAAATAGTTGTTCAGCTGTAATTTCTGATCTAAAGGCAGCAGGTGTTGCTCAAAGTACACTGAATTCTGTAGTGACTTCCATGGAAGAGATTGTTCAAGATATCCATCAGCATGCTAAAGAGACAGTGATAAAGCATGTATTTAGTAATGAAAGAGAAACGGAAATGTGCAAGAAAGTTGAGGCGTGTTTTGAGGGGTTAGAGAATCCTTTCACAATTCTAAATTCGGAATACAAACGATCAAAATTTATGACTGACAAGTGGGAAATGGTCGAACCAATTGAATGTGTGATTGGTTCAAGATTTGACACAAGACGAAATAAAAAGACTGGAACATATGATCAGGTAGTAGTTCAAGATAAATTCATGTATATTCCAATTTTATCTACACTGCAGTCAATATTTAAAAGTCCATATGTTGCAGAAATGTTGCAACGCTCAGCAACCAGCGACTCTAGACTGAGAGATATTTGTGATGGATCTTTTTTTAAAAGTCACCCCCTGTTCTCAACTGAGAAGCAGACAATACAGATCCAGATGTTCTATGATGACTTTGAGGTCGCCAACCCTCTGGGTCCAAAGCGAGGTATTCATAAATTAGGTGGAGTATATTTTACTTTAAGAAACTTCTCTCCAAAATGGAATTCTTTTTTAGCTAACATACACCTGTGCGCCTTATTTCATGCTCAAGATGTTAAACGTTATGGTTTTAGTGAAATTTTTGCTCCCATTGTTCGAGATATTAAAGTGTTAGAGAGTGATGGTATTGAGATTCCATTATACAATGGTTTTGTTCGTGGCACTGTAGTGCAGGTTACTGGTGATAATTTGGGATTGCATTGTTTGTTTGGTCTAGTGGAGTCTTTCAGTGCAAGGTACTGTTGCAGGTTCTGTTTAGCGGAAAAGGAGGACTTTCAGACAGAATTCTCTGAAGACTCTTCCAAAATAGTTTTGCGCACCAAAGATGTACACACTGCTCACTGTCAAGAAATGGCTTGTAATCCATCCCTTCCCTACGTTTTTGGTGTGAAACGTTCATGCATATTAAATTCATTGGAGTATTTTCACACAACAGAGAACTTCTCAGTTGATGTGATGCATGATGTGTTAGAAGGGGTGGGCCAGTACGAATTGAAGTTATTATTTCTGTATTTGAAGGAAAAGCATGTTACATCAGCAGAAATACATTCAAGAATACAAAGTTTTGATTATGGTTTCATGGAGAGAAACAACAGACCTGTAGCTGTTAATTTAAGTGAAGGATCTAATGATCTAGGACTGAATGCATCTCAGTCCTGGTGCTTACTTAGGAATGTTCCTCTTATCTTTGGAGATTTGTTTACTTCTACTGACCAACACTGGAGCCTGCTTCTTTTACTTCTTCAAATAATAAACATCATATTCTCGCCCATGTTATCTCAAGGTTTATGTGTATATTTAAAACATTTAATTGTGGATCACCACACACTGTTTAAAAAGTTGTATCCTCAGAAAAACCTTTTACCAAAGCATCATTTTCTTGTCCACTATCCCCGCTGCATACAGAAAATTGGGCCTGTCCTTCATAGTTGGTGTATGAGGTATGAAGGCAAGCATAATTTTTTCAAAAAACAGCTTAAATCGTTTAAAAATATTACCAAAACGCTTGCAAAAAAGCATCAGTTTCATATGGCACATAGTTGGCGAAATTCAACAACTTTTAGTCGGTTTGACATTGGTCCAGGAAAAATGGTGTCTTTAAATATGGTAAAAGGAGGTTCTGGAATTGCTATGGCAATGCAAGTGCCCATTAGCATTCAGGTTATGAAGGTTAATTGGGCTAAACATAATGGGTTTGTTTATCGACCAAACTTGGTTATCTGTGGGAAAGTTGAATCTGAAGTCCCCGTGTTTTATCAGATTGAGTCAGTTCTGATAATGTTTGAAAAACTGTTGCTACTCACAGTGCCTTTAGTTACAGTAACTTTTCAAGAACATTTCCATGCTTATGAGGTGATCAAATCAAAGCAGGATTATGTTTTTTTTCATGTCGACAACCTGCATTACCCTAGGCCTTTTGACATACAAATGTCATATGGAGGGAATGACACAACTCTCCTCATCGTGCCATATTGCTTTCTCTGGTAAACATTTTTATGATGAAGATATGTTTCTGTCAGAGACAAGGCAATGGGTTTGCAATGTAATTTCACTGACATTGTAATGCTTTCTTTTTTTTGTTAAAATAAATGGTGAGTGCTGTGATCTAGTTTGATTGTGCTTGTTTTCATTTGATTGTACAGTAGTTGATAGTTCTATAATTCAGTAACACTGCATCTTATGATTTATAATTTTTTAAATCACTGAGAAATGAAAAGTAAATATTACACTTAAAGTGTCATTTTTTTAAAGGAAAATTGTAGTTAAATTAACTCTACAGTGTGATCATATTACTCTTAACAGTGCAATTAAACTACAGTGTTAAATACATTTACACATTTCATTGTTATTTTTTACACAATATTGAGTAGAATTAACTCTAAAAACTTAACACTGACCAATGAGTTAATTTTACACTGATTTTGAGCGGGACCAAATGTTATCTGAAACGGAGTCAATTTCAACTCTATAGGAGTTAAATTAACACTTCAGTTTTTACTGTGTATATGCACATAAGACATAACCTGAAAGGACCACCAAGCATTAATTTGAACCTTCGTTTCTTAGAGAGGTTATTCAATTAACATTAAAGCACCAGTTCAGTTAGAGCCTGGAGTACTTGCGCTTTGTAGTGGCTGAGGGAATTTCCTTTGTCTGCGTCGCGTCGAAGGGGGGGGTTTCCCGGCCGGGTCCGTTGCGTGGTTTGTTGTCTTTGAAGTGCAGGGATGGAAGTTTCGCCGCTGGTCACGTGTGATTAGCAAGCGAATGAGAGTTCATCTGATGAGAACTTTTCCAGTTCGAAGCGCGTTGCAAACTTAACTTTGAAACGAGACTTTTACGAAAAAGGAAATAAAGGAAAGAAATGAAAGTAAGACGAGTCGGATGGCTTGACTGAGCTGAATTGTAACCCTGATCTTGATGGGTTATTCGTCTGCGGGTCGAATTTGGTCTAGTCGATGTAGAAGCATGCGAACATGTTCTTTGTTTCAGAGATAAGCACGAACAGAACACTCTCTTGCTGGTTTTAGAGAGAGGCACGGACTTAACAGTTACAGAACTGAACGAACTGAACAAAAATCTAAACAAAAATCATCTGAAATCTTCTAAAATCTACAAAAATCTGATCATGAGGTCCTTTGTTCGGATCTTTAACTTAAACTCTAGTCCAACCTCCAAGAAGCTTCTGGCCAATTGGAGGCGGATCTACTTCTTGCTTTATCATAATTTATGCATGGTCTGTGAGCTGGTCTCCAGCACTTAGCAGAGACAAAAGACCATCGTTTTAACCTTATGATAATTATAATAATAAAACAAAACCTTTTACGCAGATTTCAATCAAGCCATCTTTTGAATTACGAGAATACGGTTCGTTTAAGAGCAAACGAGGCATTCACACTTCTAATGGTTGTATAACAATTACAAGAGTTAATAGTTAACAACAATTACATGATTATTATGTGATCTAAGCATAATAACACATGAAGTGTAGGAACAACAAGAATTATGATTGGTTATAGGTCCAAGAATTGTTCTGTGGTGAGTTCATATTATTTTATGTGTGAGATCTTCGATCTCAACCGTAAGGTTACTGAGAGTTCAACTCGAAGGGGGACGAGGCAAAGGTGTTCTGTGGAACATCTCTGTCAGGGGATCAAAGGGTTTTTGTTGTGAGCTTCTCGTTCCACCATTTTGGAGCTGACCTGTCTCAGTAAAACATTACCATATTGACACGTTCGTCCTGTTTAGTGCCCCTCTCTTGGGCCTGTGGGGCAATAAAAGTCCTTATCTGCAGACAGCACGGAGTCGTTCCGTGACTCTGGAATGTGGGCTCCAGAACTTGGAGTGTTGAAGCCATGTGAATTAATCCCATGAGAGATTAATTTGATTAAGTTGTGTTTGATTCGCCTCGATTCTCTACATATTCCCCCCTCGATCGATGATGGGTTGAGAAGAAGACATCATTGAACGCTGGAGAAACAGAAGAAGAAGAAGCAAACACACACAGCAAACAACAAGGCAACTCCTCCATGACTGGTCACTTTACTGGTGCAGGGCATTAGGTTATCTAGGCCTAACGAGTTCACTCTCTCAATATAGTCAATTATGTGGAAAAAGTTTAGTTCAATTTTAGGACCGTTATTCTAGTTTGTGTTAAACGGTGATTGATCAACTTTGTGACTAAATTTGATTTGTTTGTTTTATCCACTTCTAAATTGTTCTAGGTTTAGACCAATTTACCTTCCAGATTTTGATTCGAATGATGCAGGGAGTTCTCTGGCTAACATTCGTTCTAAGGTGACTTGCAAACGTCAGGCGTGGTGCGTCAATCCTTATATTGTAACCTTGACCCTTATGGGGCAAAAGGGATTTTACCTAATAAGAGAAGAAGGGAAGGAAGAGGTAAAACAAAACAAAGCAGTTGAGTGACTCCAGTATGGGTACTGTGATGCAGTGACAGGTGTCAACATGTTATGAGAGGTGTTATACTTGTTGGGTGTATTGCTATATGTTTCCTGTGGTGGAAAGGTTAGCTAATACAATGAAAAACATGTTTGTTGAATGTTTTCATGGTAGATGTGTTTAACTTGTGTTTGTCAGTACAGTGTAGTGTAGTGCATGTACTGTACGTATGCTGTATGTATGTCAGATCTGTCTCAGTCTGTTTTGCTCCCCCCTTTGCTTGATGGCTTAGCTTTGATGAGCTTGTCGCATCTTTGCCTTGGAAAGGGATCTTCTGTGATCTGATGGGGGTCAGTCCCGTTAGGCAGGAAGTTCTCTGGCAGACATTGGGAGGTGGTTTGGCACGGATGCGTGAAGCTGTAGTGCAAAACATGGTCTCCTTGTTGCATTCCACTTGTGATGCCTTCTGGTTGTGACAGACAGTCTGACTTCTGTGCTTACTGGTGTTGCGGCAGCACACAGATGGTTCTTGAGTTTGGAGCTTGTGGTGTGATGGGTAACCAGGATGGTGTTTTCTGGTACCTCTGGGTGTTTGTCAGTGGTTGACTGTGAGAGGCCACTTTGTTCTGTGTTGTTGTAGAACAGGTGGACGTCTCAGGAAGGTGTGCAAGGTGATCACTGGTCTTCTGTGTTCAGCTTGTCTTTGAAGAACACTTGCAGTCGACTCAGTAGTCGCTCCATGTCCTCTGAGGGGAGACTGTCGTGTTCTTGGACACACTCAGTGTGGTGTGGAGGTGGGTTTCGTTGTCGCTTACCCACATAGAATGCTTTTGGATGCACTCGTTGATTCCAGTTGTTTCCTTCTGGTGGGTCCCATGACTTTTCCACGTGGTTGGAGTGGTCGCTGTCGTTAGCATGGGAGTAGCATTCTCTGTGCTCCTGATGAAGGACTGTGGCGTTGTCATGCCACTGGGTGTCTTCCAGTGCAAGGCTTGTGTCTTGGCTGCTGGAGTTTGACACTGTGGATGTTTTCAAACCTTTCTTTGAAGTCATCTTTTGTTTGATGTAGGCCTTGTGTGTCAGGTCACGTAGCTGTTGAAGCGTCATGGTGACTGGGCAGGCCATGATGCCGAGATGACGACTCAGTCCTGGATGCAGGTTTCTCAGGAAGAGGGTTTTGAAGTTCAGATCCTCTTCAGATTCAGGTTTGCTATGTGCACCGAAGTAGGCTTGTCGGAAACGGTGATAATAGGCTTGGGGAGTCTCTTGACGACCTTGTCTGGTTTCCAAGGCGACTAACACACCATGTTCTGACTCTGGACTTGTAAATTCTTTAATCAGGATCTCACGTAGCAGCTGGTAGTTTGACTTGACATGAGCAGGTTGTCGGTCTAGGACGCTTCGTACCTCTTGACTGGATGTGGATCTGAGGAGGTATAAAATGTCTCTGTCAGTCATATGGGGTCTCACCTCTAGGAGGAAGTCGATATCTTGGAGGTAGGCCTGGATGCAGTGGCCCTCCGTGGAGTTCGGGTCGAACTGGGTGATGTTCTTAGCCAGCTGGTTGAGATCTTTGAAGGTCATTCCAGTTGCAGCTTTAGAGTCTGGCTGGATGATCTCTCTTTGTTGGTTGGCAGGGAAGAGTTCTGTGGTGAAGGCCGGTGACGTTTTGGGGTGTGGCCATTCACTTCTTCCGTAGGATGACAGTTCTTGGATGGAGGACTCTGTTCTGCTCAGCAGTGATGATGCTGAGGGAGGTCTCTCCCTTCTTGGCTCTGGTTTCTGTGTAAAGACATGTTGGAGTTCATCTCTGACCACGTAGAGCTCGTCGTTGGCGTCGTCTCGCTGTTGGGTCAGATGGTCAATTTCAACGCTGCACCTTCGCAGGTGGTCTTCCAGAGCAGTGAGTTTAGAGTTCTTACTTTCAATGTCAGCTTTGGCTTTCTCTAGCTGATGTTCAGCAGACTGGAGTTGGTTTTCCAGGTGCTTCTGGACAGTCTTTAACTCTTGTTTGTCACGTTCAGTGACTGCAAGGGCTTCTTGGAGCTTGTCAACTTGGGTCTTTGTTTCTTGCTCCGCTTCGTCGGACGCTTTGAGCTGGTCTTTGCAGTGTTGAGTGTGCATCAGCTCTCTCAGGAACCCGGTGGTCTTGAGGTCGTCCTGGACTTTCACTTCCAGCTTGTCTATGCGGCTTTGGGCACGTGTCAGCTCCTCCTGAAGGTGGGTGACGTGCTGGTGGCTTAGGTTTAGCTGGGCTGTGAAGGCATTGCTTAAGGAACAGGTTATTTTGGTTAGTTCCACATGGCTTTGGTTTTGGTTTGAATCATGTGTCAGGAATCTTCTCAGAATTATGATTATTATTAAGAATAATAACAGTTCAATTGTCTTTGGGGTGAGGCAGTCTGTAATGCCTCTGAGCCAGGCGTCCATGTCTTCCCGTTGGGCAGTGGGGTTTGTTGTCCACGACATGTTGCCACGCTTGGTGAAGAGACTGACACAGATCTGTGTGGTATAAGCCTATATGTGGTTGCACGGCTGAGTGTAGTTTCAGTAAGTGTGCACCAATAGTGAAGTGTCGTGATGACTAGGTGTTGGTAGAAGTGTACACAGTGAGGCTAGGGATGTGAAGATCTCGTCACTCAACTGGGTAAAGGAAAGAAAAAGAGAGAGGTTAAAACAAATCTCAGATGGAAATAGCTTTTTTTTAAT